CTCTCTCTGCTCTCTCTCTCTCTACTCTCTCTCTGCTCTCTCTCTGCTCTCTCTCTCTCTCTGGTCTCTCCCTCTCTACTCTCTCTCGCCTTCTTCTCTAACTTTTCTGCTTGGTTCACATTAAACAGTCTGGGTTTTACATTCCTCCGTCTCGTCTCCGAAAGGTCACGTCTGTCACGGCACTTACGGCTCCTGAGCCAAACTTAATGCCAGCGCTTTGCCATTTCTCACATCGTCATGACAACTGCAACTCCTCATCTTGAAAGACTTGGATAAAACTGAGGAAGAAGTTATGTGCGACTGCGAAAACAAGGATTTTTGACAGATTTAGTCCGAGAATATTCAAGTTTTTCAGTTTAAACTAAACAAGATCAAATGAAAACAGTCAGATTTAAGTTTAACTAAAGCTACAATATGAATGTAACGTACAAAGGGAGGCCTGTAGTGTTTCTGCTGCCCATGCTCACACGCTGGATCCTGATTGGTCGAAATGAATTCAAATCCTCTAGGTCCTTGTTATTGGTTCAACAGTTGGTGGTGATTTTGCCAAAGGGGGAGGGGCCGTTTTAAATACATCATTGTTGAAAGATATTGACAGTAAATAATAGTGTCGTGTCCTGTGGCCAGAAATACACTTTATTTAGAGAATGAAAGACAAAGTGACGTTGTTGACCTCCCCTTTAACCCTTGTATGTGAAATAGACACAGATACTGTCCATAAGAAGCAAATACATCAGGAATAGTCAGAGATAGTGCTTTAATCAATACAAAAAAATACATATAAGATAGTTATGTATGAAAAATGTAGGGGAGCCAAGTTACTGTATACAAAGTGTCCTGGGAGAGACAGAGAGAGGGTGAGGGAGGGGGTGAGAGAGGGTGAGGGAGGGGGTGAGAGAGAGGGTGAGGGAGGGGGTGAGAGAGAGGGTGAGGGAGGGGGTGAGAGAGGGTGAGGGAGGGGGTGAGAGAGAGGGTGAGGGAGGGGGTGAGAGAGGGTGAGGGAGGGTGAGAGAGAGGGTGAGGGAGGGGGTGAGGGAGGGGGTGAGAGAGAGGGTGAGGGAGGGGGTGAGAGAGGGTGAGGGAGGGTGAGAGAGAGGGTGAGGGAGGGGGTGAGAGAGGGTGAGGGAGGGTGAGAGAGAGGGTGAGGGAGGGGGGTGAGGGAGGGGGTGAGAGAGAGGGTGAGGGAGGGGGTGAGAGAGAGGGTGAGGGAGGGGGTGAGAGAGAGGGTGAGGGAGGGGGTGGGAGAGAGAGGGTGAGGGAGGGGGTGAGAGAGGGTGAGGGGGGGGGGGTGAGAGAGAGGGTGAGGGAGGGGGTGAGAGAGGGTGAGGGAGGGTGAGAGAGAGGGTGAGGGAGGGGGTGAGAGAGGGTGAGGGAGGGTGAGAGAGAGGGTGAGGGAGGGGGGTGTGAGGGAGGGGGTGAGAGAGAGGGTGAGGGAGGGGGTGAGAGAGGGTGAGGGAGGGTGAGAGAGAGGGTGAGGGAGGGGGTGAGAGAGAGGGTGAGGGTTGCAGGGGCTGGATCCTCATCTGGCCTCTGTCAATTTAATTTCATAAACCTTTAAATCTTGCTTCTATGTCGCTTTCCTTCCCGTTTAACTCAGTGGTTTCTATGGTAGCGCCGTCATAGATGAAATTATTTCCCCATTTACATGAATTTGTGATGATTCAATAGTAATATTGGTCACACTTTAGTTAGCCAATAAAGTGCTAATATATGTGAAATGTACGGTTAATTAGCTGTTCATCAGTATTAGCCAAGTCGACATAAGGACTTACAGAGAATGTCCACAGTAGGTACTGTAGGTAGGTACTGTGTGTATCTGTGTGTAACATTACTCAGGTGTATCTACACAGGCCGTGCACAGGTGCTGCTGATGCTGTCCCTGTGTCGTCTGTGGAGCAGTGCAGAGGACTGATGCAGAGGACTGATGCAGAGGACTGATGCAGAGGACAGTACAGAGGACTGATGCAGAGGACTGATGCAGAGGACTGATGCAGAGGACAGTACAGATGACTGATGCAGAGGACTGATGCAGAGGACAGTACAGAGGACTGATGCAGAGGACTGATGCAGAGGACTGTACAGAGGACTGATGCAGAGGACTGATGCAGAGGACTGATGCAGAGGACTGTACAGAGGACTGATGCAGAGGACTGATGCAGAGGACTGATGCAGAGGACTGTACAGAGGACTGATGCAGAGGACTGATGCAGAGAACTGTACAGAGGACTGTACAGAGGACTGATGCAGAGGACTGATGCAGAGGACTGATGCAGAGGACTGTACAGAGGACTGTACAGAGGACTGATGCAGAGGACTGATGCAGAGGACTGATGCAGAGGACTGTACAGAGGACTGATGCAGAGGACAGTACAGAGACTGATGTAGAGGACTGATGCAGAGGACAGTACAGAGACTGATGTAGAGGACTGATGCAGAGGACAGTACAGAGACTGATGCAGAGGACAGTACAGAGACTGATGTAGAGGACAGTACAGAGACTGATGTAGAGCAGGGGTTCCCAAAGTTTTTAGCCCGCGACCCCCATCATAAATGCCCTGCTAACCCGCGACCCCCCCCCCCAACAGCCCTTCCGACACATGAAATGAGAATGTATTTCCTTGATACGGAGTAACGCTTTCTAGAGACTCACGCCACTACCGAGCTGCACTGTCCAGCCCAAAAAAGGAGGCTTGCATATTTTTACTCATGTAGTGACACAGTGGTGGGCTTGGTGGGCTCCCTTCTTAGCAGAAGTGGAGCGCATTTCTTGCGGCTCGCCCTCACTGTTCTCCTACCGCGGTAAAGTGGGCCGGCTTTCCGGAGTCAGCGGTAAAGAGGTCCGCACATTAAAAGCGGGCGGCCGCTTTCTGCTGTTACTTTATGCGGTTCATCCCCGCGGCTTCTCTTTCCAAAGTTACTGTCAGTAAAGGCATAAACCGGCCACCCGCTTTTAATGTGCGGACCTCTTTACCTTTGACTCCGAAAAGCCGGGCCTCTTTAACGCGCTGTTCTACCGCTGTCCTCCCTCCCTCCGCTGCCCTCTCTCCCTCCTCTGCCCTCTCTCCCTCCTCTGCCCTCTCTCCCTCTGCTGCCCTCTCTCCCTCCTCTGCCCTCTCTCCCTCCTCTGCCCTCTCTCCCTCCTCTGCCCTCTCTCCCTCCTCTGCCCTCCCTCCCTCCGCTGCCCTCTCTCCCTCCTCTGCCCTCTCTCCCTCCGCTGCCCTCCCTTCCTCCGCTGCCCTCTCTCCCTCCGCTGCCCTCTCTCCCTCCTCTGCCCTCTCTCCCTCCGCTGCCCTCTCTCCCTCCGCTGCCCTCTCTCCCTCCGCTGCCCTCCCTTCCTCCGCTGCCCTCTCTCCCTCCGCTGCCCTCTCTCCCTCCTCTGCCCTCTCTCCCTCCTCTGCCCTCTCTCCCTCCGCTGCCCTCTCTCCCTCCTCTGCCCTCTCTCCCTCCTCTGCCCTCTCTCCCTCCTCTCTCTCCCTCCGCTGCCCTCTCTCCCTCCTCTGCCCTCTCTCCCTCCTCTGCCCTCTCTCCCTCCTCTCTCCCTCCTCTGCCCTCTCTCCCTCCTCTGCCCTCTCTCCCTCCTCTGCCCTCTCTCCCTCCGCTGCCCTCTCTCCCTCCTCTGCCCTCTCTCCCTCCTCTGCCCTCTCTCCCTCCGCTGCCCTCCCTTCCTCCGCTGCCCTCTCTCCCTCCGCTGCCCTCTCTCCCTCCGCTGCCCTCTCTCCCTCCTCTGCCCTCTCTCCCTCCTCTGCCCTCTCTCCCTCCGCTGCCCTCTCTCCCTCCTCTGCCCTCTCTCCCTCCTCTCTCCCTCCTCTGCCCTCTCTCCCTCCTCTGCCCTCTCTCCCTCCGCTGCCCTCCCTTCCTCCGCTGCCCTCTCTCCCTCCTCTGCCCTCTCTCCCTCCTCTGCCCTCTCTCCCTCCTCTGCCCTCTCTCCCTCCTCTGCCCTCTCTCCCTCCTCTGCCCTCTCTCCCTCTCTCCCTCCTCTGCCCTCTCTCCCTCTCTTCGCACCATCAGCCTGACCCCTGATACAAGTGACTTTTCTCCCCCTCCGGGTTTTTCTGTTGTGGATATTAACCACGTTTCATTTTAAAGCAGGTATTATTTATTTGTAGCCTCCAAACACCTTTAGTTTTAGCAAACAACAGCAGGACACGCTTTGTCGCTGCGCATGATGTGAGCTGTGTTACGTGATGATTTTGATTGACGCTGCAATGACTGGGACAAAATTACTAACGTTATTAAAATATATTTTATAAATATATTATAAAATATATATAATAATATATATAAATGCTAAATACATATTTAAGGGCTTTATATTTGCTCAAAAAAAAAAACTTTTCTTTTTTGAGCAAAAAAAATCTTTTTTTGTGTGTGTGGAAATCATCTTGCGACCCCCCCAGGGGTTCCCGCGACCCCCCGGGGGGTCGGGACCCCCACTTTGGGAACCACTGATGTAGAGGACAGTACAGAGACTGAAGCAGAGGACTGATGCAGAGGACAGTACAGAGACTGATGTAGAGGACAGTACAGAGACTGATGCAGAGGACTGATGCAGAGGACAGTACAGAGACTGATGTAGAGGACAGTACAGAGACTGATGCAGAGGACAGTACAGATACTGATGCAGAGGACAGTACAGATACTGATGCAGAGGACTGATGCAGAGGACTGATGCAGAGGACTGATGCAGAGGACAGTACAGAGGACTGATGCAGAGGACTGATGCAGAGGACAGTACAGAGGACTGATGCAGAGGACTGATGCAGAGGACAGTACAGAGGACTGATGCAGAGGACAGTACAGAGACTGATGCAGAGGACTGATGCAGAGGACAGTACAGAGACTGATGTAGAGGACAGTACAGAGACTGATGCAGAGGACTGATGCAGAGGACAGTACAGAGACTGATGTAGAGGACAGTACAGAGACTGATGCAGAGGACAGTACAGAGACTGATGTAGAGGACAGTACAGAGACTGATGTAGAGGACAGTACAGAGACTGATGCAGAGGACTGATGCAGAGGACAGTACAGAGACTGATGTAGAGGACAGTACAGAGACTGATGCAGAGGACAGTACAGAGACTGATGTAGAGGACAGTACAGAGACTGATGTAGAGGACAGTACAGAGACTGATGCAGAGGACAGTACAGAGACTGATGCAGAGGACTGATGCAGAGGACTGATGCAGAGGACTGATGTAGAGGACAGTACAGAGACTGATGCAGAGGACTGATGCAGAGGACAGTACAGAGACTGATGTAGAGGACAGTACAGAGACTGATGCAGAGGACAGTACAGAGACTGATGCAGAGGACTGATGCAGAGGACTGATGCAGAGGACAGTACAGAGGACTGATGCAGAGGACTGATGCAGAGGACAGTACAGAGGACTGATGCAGAGGACTGATGCAGAGGACTGATGCAGAGGACTGATGCAGAGGACAGTACAGAGACTGATGTAGAGGACAGTACAGAGACTGATGCAGAGGACAGTACAGAGACTGATGCAGAGGACAGTACAGAGACTGATGCAGAGGACTGATGCAGAGGACAGTACAGAGGACTGATGCAGAGGACTGATGCAGAGGACAGTACAGAGGACTGATGCAGAGGACAGTACAAAGGACTGATGCAGAGGACTGATGCAGAGGACTGATGCAGAGGACAGTACAGAGGACTGATGCAGAGGACTGATGCAGAGGACTGATGCAGAGGACAGTACAGAGGACTGATGCAGAGGACTGATGCAGAGGACAGTACAGAGGACTGATGCAGAGGACTGTTGCAGAGGACTGATGCAGAGGACTGATGCAGAGGACAGTACAGAGACTGATGTAGAGCAACACAGATCACATGTGTTTGTCTTCATAGTCTCTGTTGCTGGTATGACCAGACGCCAGACTTTATGAAAGAAACGATGTCCAGAATCACTGTAAAACCTGCTGCTCCTCCGTGTGTGTGTGTGTGTGTGTGTGTGTGTGTGTGTGTGTGTGTGTGTTTCTGACTGCTTGCTATATCCTGTTTTTGTCCTTTTCCTGGAGTTTTGCCACAGACAACTTTAACAAGAATGGAAATGATTAACTGGTCCCTCAAGGCAATTGATTCTATCTTTTCAACACGTAAGCGCGGGTCTGGAGAGCCCGTGTGCCCGGACGGGACTTCACCTGCGGGGTATACTCTTGACAGCTGGAACAAGTTTCAGCCCCTCTGTCTGTCGACCCTGTCCATTGAAGATTCGGAAGACGTATATATCTTTGGCATTTTGGTGGTGGGAATCCTCCTGTTTGGGTTTGGAGCGGTCCTCTTCTACCGCAAATTCGGAGGCATGGCAGTTCACAAGATGCACGAGCTGCTGGCCGACAAAATTGATGGGATGTACAAGGAGCTTAGCCGAGTCATGGTTGAGAGCGCTGTGGCTGGACAAAGAAGAGTGGTGTTGGTGGAACAGTTGATAAAAGATCTCGCAGCTCGTTCACTCGAAGGGAATAAAACATTAAAACATTGGAGATGAGATTGAATGACATTGTGTGTCAGGCTTGAACTCTCTGACCCAGCTTGGATTTGCCCCTGTGTACGGAGGTCTGAGGGCGCCGCAATTCGGTTTAATTGGATTTAATAGAATATCTGCCTGTTTTTGACTGCTACAGTGCATATAATATTGTCCCTCTCAGGCGATGTGTTTTTCTCCTGCTGTGTCTTCTCTCCACTCTTATCTCACATTCCTCGGCCAAGGCCATAATATCTCAAGGCTCAATCTACAACAACTCACACTATTGCAGTCTCCAGCACGGATCCCTCACCCCACCCAGCCTCCCTCTACCCATCTTACTCCCTCCCTCCCCTCCACTCCTTATTGTGTTTCCGACTCACCCCCTCCCTGGCCCCGCCCCCCTCCCTGGCCCCGCCCCCCTCTGACAGCCACATTGGGCCGGCAGTCGGAGGTGCTTCATCCCGAGAAAAAATCCGTGGTTTATACAAAGCACAATGTGTCTATCCAACTGTCTGTGAAACTGTATGTTATTGCTCTCTGCTGTTTATTCTACCGTTTGTCGCATGGCGCCAGAAAGATGGCGCCGTGGCAAGAGCTCTGGTGTGTGTCATCTGGTGCACATGTAGTCTTGCAGTTTTTCCAATGTGGTTTTACTGCAAATGGCAAATAAATGAATCTGAATCTGTGTGTGTGTGTGTGTGTGTGTGTGTGTGTGTGTGTGTGTGCTGCAGTTAGAGGCTGCAGCTGAGCATAGACAACGCTGATTCGCGGGTTCAGTTTCTCCCGGCTGTCAATCACGTCTTGGAGGCGGGCTTTTGACGTCACTGATTGGTGCACGTCACGATTTGAAACGAGCCGTTTATGTGTCTTTCGAGAATGAAAGAGAAAGATCAGTCTGGACTTAGGTTAGGTCTAAGGTTAGGTCTAAGGTTAGGTCTAAGGTTAGGGCTAAGGTTAAAGCTAAGGTTAGGTCTAAGGTTAGGGCTAAGGTTAGGGCTAAGGTTAGGGCTAAGGTTAGGGCTAAGGTTAAAGCTAAGGTTAGGGCTAATGTTAGGGCTAATGTTAGGGCTAATGTTAGGGCTAATGTTAGGGCTAAGGTTAGGGCTAAGGTTAAAGCTAAGGTTAGGGCTAATGTTAGGGCTAATGTTAGGGCTAATGTTAGGGCTAATGTTAGGGCTAAGGTTAGGGCTAATGTTAGGGCTAATGTTAGGGCTAAGGTTAGGGCTAATGTTAGGGCTAATGTTAGGGCTAATGTTAGGGCTAATGTTAGGGCTAATGTTAGGGCTAATGTTAGGGCTAAGGTTAGGGCTAATGTTAGGGCTAAGGTTAGGGCTAATGTTAGGGCTAATGTTAGGGCTAATGTTAGGGCTAAGGTTAGGGCTAATGTTAGGGCTAAGGTTAGGGCTAAGGTTAGGGCTAATGTTAGGGCTAAGGTTAGGGCTAATGTTAGGGCTAAGGTTAGGGCTAAGGTTAGGGCTAAGGTTAGGGCTAATGTTAGGGCTAATGTTAGGGCTAATGTTAGGGCTAATGTTAGGGCTAAGGTTAGGTCTAAGGTTAGGGCTAAGGTTAGGTCTAAGGTTAGGGCTAAGGTTAGGGCTAAGGTTAGGGCTAATTTAGGGCTAAGGTTAGGGCTAAGGTTAGGTCTAAGGTTAGGGCTAAGGTTAGGGCTAATGTTAGGGCTAAGGTTAGGGCTTATGTTAGGGCTAATGTTAGGGCTAAGGTTAGGGCTAAGGTTAGGGCTAATGTTAGGGCTAAGGTTAGGGCTAAGGTTAGGGCTAATGTTAGGGCTAATGTTAGGGCTAAGGTTAGGGCTAATGTTAGGGCTAATGTTAGGGCTAAGGTTAGGGCTAAGGTTAGGGCTAATGTTAGGGCTAAGGTTAGGGCTAAGGTTAGGTCTAAGGTTAGGGCTAAGGTTAGGGCTAATGTTAGGGCTAAGGTTAGGGCTTATGTTAGGGCTAATGTTAGGGCTAAGGTTAGGGCTAATGTTAGGGCTAAGGTTAGGGCTAAGGTTAGGTCTAAGGTTAGGGCTAAGGTTAGGGCTAATGTTAGGGCTAAGGTTAGGGCTAATGTTAGGGCTAAGGTTAGGGCTAAGGTTAGGGCTAAGGTTAGGGCTAATGTTAGGGCTAAGGTTAGGGCTAAGGTTAGGGCTAATGTTAGGGCTAAGGTTAGGGCTAATGTTAGGGCTAAGGTTAGGGCTATGTTAGGGCTAAGGTTAGGGCTAAGGTTAGGCTAAGGTTAGGGCTAAGGTTAGGGCTAAGGTTAGGGCTAAGGTTAGGGCTAAGGTTAGGGCTAAGTTAGGGCTAATGTTAGGGCTAATGTTAGGGCTAATGTTAGGGCTAAGGTTAGGCTAAGGGCTAAGGTTAAAAGCTAAGGTTAGGGCTAATGTTAGGGCTAATGTTAGGGCTAATGTTAGGGCTAATGTTAGGGCTAAGGTTAGGGCTAATGTTAGGGCTAATGTTAGGGCTAAGTTAGGGCTAATGTTAGGGCTAATGTTAGGGCTAATGTTAGGGCTAATGTTAGGGCTAAGTTAGGGCTAATGTTAGGGCTAAGGTTAGGGCTAATGTTAGGGCTAAGGTTAGGGCTAATGTTAGGGCTAATGTTAGGGCTAATGTTAGGGCTAAGGTTAGGGCTAATGTTAGGGCTAAGGTTAGGGCTAAGGTTAGGGCTAAGTTAGGGCTAAGGTTAGGGCTAATGTTAGGGCTAAGGTTAGGGCTAAGGTTAGGGCTAAGGTTAGGGCTAATGTTAGGGCTAATGTTAGGGCTAATGTTAGGGCTAAGGTTAGGGCTAAGGTTAGGTCTAAGGTTAGGGCTAAGGTTAGGTCTAAGGTTAGGGCTAAGGTTAGGGCTAAGGTTAGGGCTAATGTTAGGGCTAAGGTTAGGGCTAAGGTTAGGGCTAAGGTTAGGGCTAAGGTTAGGGCTAAGTTTAGGGCTAAGGTTAGGGCTAATGTTAGGGCTAATGTTAGGGCTAAGGTTAGGGCTAAGGTTAGGGCTAATGTTAGGGCTAAGGTTAGGGCTAAGGTTAGGGCTAATGTTAGGGCTAATGTTAGGGCTAAGGTTAGGGCTAATGTTAGGGCTAATGTTAGGGCTAAGGTTAGGGCTAAGGTTAGGGCTAAGTTTAGGGCTAAGGTTAGGGCTAAGGTTAGGGCTAAGGTTAGGGCTAAGGTTAGGGCTAATGTTAGGGCTAAGGTTAGGGCTAATGTTAGGGCTAATGTTTAGGGCTAAGGTTAGGGCTAATGTTAGGGCTAAGGTTAGGGCTAAGGTTAGGTCTAAGGTTAGGGCTAAGGTTAGGGCTAATGTTAGGGCTAAGGTTAGGGCTAAGGTTAGGGCTAATGTTAGGGCTAAGGTTAGGGCTAATGTTAGGGCTAAGGTTAGGGCTAAGGTTAGGGCTAAGGTTAGGGCTAATGTTAGGGCTAAGGTTAGGGCTAAGGTTAGGGCTAAGGTTAGGGCTAAGGTTAGGGCTAATGTTAGGGCTAAGGTTAGGGCTAATGTTAGGGCTAAGGTTAGGGCTAAGGTTAGGGCTAATGTTAGGGCTAAGGTTAGGGCTAAGGTTAGGGCTAAGGTTAGGGCTAATGTTAGGGCTAAGGTTAGGGCTAAGGTTAGGGCTAATGTTAGGGCTAAGGTTAGGGCTAAGGTTAGGGCTAAGGTTAGGGCTAAGGTTAGGGCTAAGGTTAGGGCTAAGGTTAGGGCTAAGGTTAGGGCTAAGGTTAGGGCTAAGGTTAGGGCTAATGTTAGGGCTAAGGTTAGGGCTAAGGTTAGGGCTAAGGTTAGGGCTAATGTTAGGGCTAATGTTAGGGCTAAGTTAGGGCTAAGGTTAGGGCTAAGGTTAGGGCTAAGGTTAGGGCTAAGGTTAGGGCTAAGGTTAGGGCTAAGGTTAGGGCTAATGTTAGGGCTAAGGTTAGGGCTAAGGTTAGGGCTAAGGTTAGGGCTAATGTTAGGGCTAATGTTAGGGCTAAGGTTAGGGCTAAGGTTAGGGCTAAGGTTAGGGCTAAGGTTAGGGCTAATGTTAGGGCTAAGGTTAGGGCTAAGGTTAGGGCTAAGGTTAGGGCTAATGTTAGGGCTAAGGTTAGGGCTAAGGTTAGGGCTAAGGTTAGGGCTAAGGTTAGGGCTAAGGTTAGGGCTAAGGTTAGGGCTAAGGTTAGGGCTAAGGTTAGGGCTAAGGTTACACTGATTAGCAGTTAGCTGTTAATTAATGAGGGCCAATCTAAATTGGCGTTAGCAAACACAGAGTTACAGACTTTGTCCCATCTCTTTCACACATCCATCTTCTTCTTCTTCTTCTTCAATGGATCTGCTTTTATTTCTGCTTTTGCTTCAAGTATCGAACTGGATTTTGAAAAGATGCAGAACAAAGACAGCCTTCAGACGGACATTCATCAGCGTGTTATTGGTTCAAATCTCTCCCAGACGTTCACAAAACACTGCTTCAAAGATGTGTGTCTTTATCTGAACTTAATTTTAACTAAAGAGATTGAATAATATCCCTTCGACAGTCTCCATAATTAGTCTGATGGTGGAGATTTCTCACGTCCATAAACTGCCACTCAGTCCAAGTGGCCCGGTTCCATCAAGCCCGGTTCCATCAAGCCCGGTTCCATCAAGCTCGGTTCCATCGAGCCCGGGTCCATCAAGCCCGGTTCCATCAAGCCCGGTTCCATCAAGCCCGGTTCCATCAAGCCCGGGTCCATCAAGCCCGGTTCCATCAAGCCCGGGTCCATCAAGCCCGGTTCCATCAAGCCCGGTTCCATCAAGCCCGGTTCCATCAAGCCCGGGTCCATCAAGCCCGGTTCCATCAAGCCCGGGTCCATCAAGCCCGGTTCCATCAAGCCCGGTTCCATCAAGCCCGGTTCCATCAAGCCCGGGTCCATCAAGCCCGGTTCCATCAAGCCCGGGTCCATCAAGCCCGGTTCCATCAAGCCCGGTTCCATCAAGCCCGGTTCCATCGAGCCCGGGTCCATCAAGCCCGGTTCCATCAAGCCCGGTTCCATCAAGCCCGGTTCCATCAAGCCCGGGTCCATCAAGCCCGGTTCCATCAAGCCCGGGTCCATCAAGCCCGGTTCCATCAAGCCCGGTTCCATCAAGCCCGGTTCCATCAAGCCCGGTTCCATCAAGCCCGGGTCCATCAAGCCCGGTTCCATCAAGCCCGGGTCCATCAAGCCCGGTTCCATCAAGCCCGGTTCCATCAAGCCCGGGTCCATCAAGCCCGGTTCCATCAAGCCCGGGTCCATCAAGCCCGGTTCCATCAAGCCCGGGTCCATCAAGCCCGGTTCCATCAAGCCCAGACAGTTCTGTTTCTCTACAGCGTTGGCGTATGTATCTGCCATATCCTGCTATATTAACACACACAGACACACACACACTCAGAGACACACACACACAGACACACACACACTCAGAGACACACACACACAGACACACACACACTCAGAGACACACACACACAGACACACACACACGCAGAGACACACACACACGCAGAGACACACACACACACGCAGACACACACACACAGAGACACACACACACAGACACACGCAGAGACACACACACACGCAGAGACACACACACACACGCAGACACACAGAGACACACACACAGAGACACACACACACGCAGAGACACACACACACACGCAGACACACACACACGCAGAGACACACACACGCAGAGACACACACACACGCAGACACACACACACAAAGACACACACACACACACACGCACAGACACACACACGCAGAGACACACACACACGCAGACACACACACACAGAGACACACACACACGCAGAGACACACACACACACACAGAGACACACACACACGCAGAGACACACACACACACGCAGACACACACACACAGAGACACACACACAGAGACACACACACAGACACACACACACAGACAGACACACACACACGCAGAGACACACACACGGAGACACACACACACGCAGACACACACACACAGAGACACACACACACACAGAGACACACACACACACAGAGACACACACACACGCAGAGACACACACACACGCAGAGACACACACACACACACGCAGACACACATACACACACGCATACGCATACACACACGCATACACACACATACACGTTTTTGTTACCTGGTGGGTCCCTTTGACAGGGCCGTTCAGAATGGGACCCATAGACATAATCTTTTTTTACCAAGACTTTAAGTAATACAAAACAGTCAATAGAAACCAAACAACTATTTTAAAGGAATTTTATTTTAGATTTTGTTTTCGAATTGCAGTGATTCTATTTTTGACATAGAATTTAATGCCACTCCATGTCCGATGTCTAAGGTCATCTGGTGAGGCATTAATGCAGGCCAGGCAGTGAGACTTCCCAGGGACCTTTCCAGTCTGTATGAAAGGTGTCATGGTCTTCTCCACAGCCTTCACCTCAGATGCAGACCATGGCTTTCTTACACGTTCTAGGGAGAGAAATAAAAATATATTAGCAATATACACTCCCAGGGTGAGGACCAAGCAGCCTGGCTGTAATCCCCCACCTGGTACACTTACCAGAAGGGGCACTGCCACTACCATGGGGTGCATCTGGATGAATGGTTGAAGGTTCTCCGCTTGAAGTTTCTTTTAGCCCGTCCGTTTGTGAGAGGATCTCTACTGCTCTCCCTGTCGCACAGAAAATAAAAATACAAGTGGCCTTTAGGGGAAAAAAATCATACATATTTTAATAATATCAAGAATTACCTTCAGGCTCAATTTGTATCTGGTCGAGGCTCTTTCCTTCGAATTCCGTCACTCTTCCCTGCTCCATGGCCATCAACACTTTGCTGATTTTGGCCAGCTCCAGTGTCCCCTCTGGTAGTCTGTAATATTGCCTGTGGATGCGAATGTCATGGCCGAGGAAGTTGGCAAGTATGTCCATCTCATTCTCTTTCATATTGAGAACTGTAGACATAGTAGCTATGTGCTTTCTAAGTTTGGTTGAGGATAGCATCTCTGGATGCACCGCACCACATTCTTTGGCTACCTGGCGTAGGGAGTCTGATCCCCTGATGTGGGTGTCTGCGCCCGGGCGGGAAAAGAAGTATGGGTTATGGTCAGAGATGGAACAGGCCCTTCTGTTCTCCACCAGCACCTCCATCGAAGCAATCATTTCAGGAGTCAAAAGAACCGGCACTTTCCGACTTCTTTTCCCTTTAATTTCAATGCGTTGAAAATGCTGACACAGCTTTTTCTCAAGTTGGGACAGTCCCAGAGCAATGTCAGAATGGATCCCAGTCTTACTTCTTAAGGTAAAGGCTGTCAGTGGCATCTTTGAAACCTCACCTTCCCTTCTTCGATTGAAAATGATGACCTCACAAAGAGTCAAAACTGCCAGTTTAGACCAATGCTTAGACGTTGGCTCACTTATTAGGGTTTGCACATATTCAGGTCGACATACCTCAATATGTGCATGCATGGCTCTAACGTCCTCAGTCAGAGGGAGCAGGTCCGGAGTGTTCCACTTGGCTTGCCGGAGGGTCTGTAGGGCAGCAGAAGAAACACAGACGTCCCACCTCTTCTCAAAAAGCAGCCGGCTTTGTTGGAGGTTTTTAATAAATAGTTCATCAACACAATGCTCCATTTTTGAGTCACATTCAAGAATATCTGCTAGCTTTCTGAGGCTATGGCCGAGTTTGAGGGCCAAGGATGGAGTCTTGTATTGATTTGTTTCCTCATCATATCCAGCCACAGACCTGACTGCATCAATCACATGGTTAAAGTTGGAAGGAATAAAGAAATCCTTCATTGTTTTCAGTTTCCCTGCGGTTTTTGCTTCGTTAATTAACCTACCGACTTCTCTCATTTTCTGCCTAATGTAATCATGCTTAGTCTTATCATGCCCGTGTTTTAAGTACAGGTGCTCTCCGAGTCTCAGAATCCCCTTTTCTGCTTTGACAACACCCGTGACCTCATCCTGATGCATTGCCGAAATTAAAGACCACAGCTTTTTGCTGATGCCCTCCGGTACAGGCTGGGCTAGGGAGCAGAGGGACTGGACCCTACTTCTACCTGGTTTAGCCTGGGCATCTTTCTGTGAAAGCCGGCACCTGGCCACATGCCTCCACAGCGACTTTCGCTTAAGCAATGCCCCACAGTCTATACAGTGCAAAAACTCACTGGATTTAACTGGGGAATTTGGCTGTTTAGCTGGGACTAAAGTTCCAATGCCGGCCTTTAAAACCTCAAAATTGTGCTCACGGTTTCCACTATTCCTGATCAAATCAAAGTGAAGTTTACGTGCTTTAGATTTCACAGGTAGAGCCAATGCTCTGGCTACGTCACTTTCATTTCCATGTTTTCTAGTCAAATGACGGGACATTTTGTGGCAGGACATTGAACAGTAGAGGCAGAAGTGTCTCTTGCTGTAAACTCGCCCCCCATTTTTCTTCTTTTGCAGCTGCATGATAACAATCTTATTTGCCTTTGGTTCGTCACTTTCCGAGTCTTGAAGAAAAGTGTTTTTGATTTTTCTTTTTCCATACTTTTTTACAGGTTTCTTCTTGACAGTTAAATCGTCAGAATCTGAGTCGACTTCATCAATTAGGGACTCTTGACTAAGCTGCACAAACAACAAATAATTTGTAATCATTCTATATAACAATTTGAAGTCATGACTTGTAGTCAGCACTTACCAGTGGTTTGTAAGCGTGCGCTTCAGTGTGCTGCTCTGTGATTGGCTGCAGCCTAATGAACCACACACTTGCACCTTTTTCTAGCCTGACACCTGATTTCCTCTGTTGTGCTGCTCCATGATTGGCTCCAGCCTCTGTTGTGCTGCTCCATGATTGGCTCCAGCCTCTGTTGTGCTGCTCCATGATTGGCTCCAGCCTCTGTTGTGCTGCTCCATGATTGGCTCCAGCCTCTGTTGTGCTGCTCCATGATTGGCTCCAGCCTGCTGGACTGAAATTGCCCCAGTGTGCCCCTCCTTGATATCCCGCAACCCACCACCAGGGTTCCGACACATAACACACTTTTTTCAGGAAAGTAAACCTCCAGGGGTCCTTTCCATATTTTTACAGAGACTGCATAAGGACCGTTAGAAAAGCATTACCCATTGATTATTAAGCTTGGACCAGTGGGGTCCGGTGTTCGGGCCCCACCACGTAAAACCAGTCCCCATGACGTGAGTGGAATCTCAGGTTATGGAACCCACCAGGAGTTGAAAACAAGTGCACACACACTCTCACAGACACACACACACACACACACAGACACACACACGCAGACACACACACACACGCAGACACACACACGCAGACACACACACACAATCCTGAGAACCATAATGTGTTTTGCAGTGCGCCCGGGTCAGCGAACGCATCACGGTGCTGCATTTACACGTTTTAATAGGTTTCAAATCCAGCTCCACAAAAAGTAAATTATCATTAGAATGAGGAGAGCGAAGAGAGGGCAGTGCAACCCGTTATTTAGTGACACACACGCAGAGACAGACACACACACAGAGAGAGACACACAGAGACACACACAGAGAGAGACACACAGAGACACACACAGAGAGAGACACACAGAGACACACACAGAGAGAGACACACAGAGAGAGAGACACAGAGAGAGACAGAGACATACACTCTCAGGTCTCTTGTCTCCCTCTGGTCTCTCTCTGGTCTCTCTCTGGCCTCTCTCTGGTCTCTCTCTCTGGTCTCTCTCTGGTCTCTCTCTCTGGTCTCTCTCTGGTCTCTCTCTGGTCTCTCTCTGGTCTCTCTCTCTGGTCTCTCTCTGGTCTCTCTCTGGTCTCTCTCTGGTCTCTCTCTGGTCTCTCTCTCTGGTCTCTCTCTGGTCTCTCTCTGGTCTCTCTCTGGTCTCTCTCTCTGGTCTCTCTCTGGTCTCTCTCTGGTCTCTCTCTGGTCTCTCTCTGGTCTCTCTCTCTGGTCTCTCCCTCTGGTCTCTCTCTCTCTGGTCTCTCTCTCTGGTCTCTCTCTCTCTGGTCTCTCTCTCTCTGGTCTCTCTCTCTGGTCTCTCTCTGGTCTCTCTCTGGTCTTTCTCTTTGGTCTCTCTCTCTCTGGTCTCTCTCTCTAGTCTCTCTCTCTCTGGTCTCTCTCTTTGGTCTCTCTTTCTCTCTGGTCTCTCTCTCTCTCTCTGGTCTCTCTCTCTCTGGTCTCTCTCTCTCTCTGGTCTCTCTCTCTGGTCTCTCTCTCTCTCTGGTCTCTCTCTTTGGTCTCTCTCTCTCTCTGGTCTCTCTCTCTGGTCTCTCTCTCTCTCTGGTCTCTCTCTTTGGTCTCTCTCTCTCTGGTCTCTCTCTCTGGTCTCTCTCTCTGGTCTCTCTCTGTTTTTGTGACTGTGGAGGGAGAGGGAGAGACACCAAACTCTCAATGGTGCAGTTTGTGGTCAATTCTTTAAGTTTACACAGAAGAAACGCTAAAGACACAATGAAACAATGCTAAAGATGCTAACTAGCTACACACAATGCTAAAGATGCTAACTAGCTACACACAATGCTAAAGATGCTAACTAGCTACACACAATGCTAAAGATGCTAACTGCAGCTACACACAATGCTAAAGATGCTAACTAGCTACACACAATGCTAAAGATGCTAACTAGCTACACACAATGCTAAAGATGCTAACTAGCTACACACAATGCTAAAGATGCTAACTAGCTACACACAATGCTAAAGATGCTAACTAGCTACACACAATGCTAAAGATGCTAACTAGCTACACACAATGCTAAAGATGCTAACTAGCTACACACAATGCTAAAGATGCTAACTAGCTACACACAATGCTAAAGATGCTAACTAGCTACACACAATGCTAAAGATGCTAACTAGCTACACACAATGCTAAAGATGCTAACTAGCTACACACAATGCTAAAGATGCTAACTAGCTACACACAATGCTAAAGATGCTAACTAGCTACACACAATGCTAAAGATGCTAACTAGCTACACACAATGCTAAAGATGCTAACTAGCTACACACAATGCTAAAGATGCTAACTAGCTACACACAATGCTAAAGATGCTAACTAGCTACACACAATGCTAAAGATGCTAACTAGCTACACACAATGCTAAAGATGCTAACTAGCTACACACAATGCTAAAGATGCTAACTAGCTACACACAATGCTAAAGATGCTAACTAGCTACACACAATGCTAAAGATGCTAACTAGCTACACACAATGCTAAAGATGCTAACTAGCTACACACAATGCTAAAGATGCTAACTAGCTACACACAATGCTAAAGATGCTAACTAGCTACACACAATGCTAAAGATGCTAACTAGCTACACACAATGCTAAAGATGCTAACTAGCTACACACAATGCTAAAGATGCTAACTAGCTACACACAATGCTAAAGATGCTAACTAGCTACACACAATGCTAAAGATGCTAACTAGCTACACACAATGCTAAAGATGCTAACTAGCTACACACAATGCTAAAGATGCTAACTAGCTACACACAATGCTAAAGATGCTAACTAGCTACACACAATGCTAAAGATGCTAACTAGCTACACACAATGCTAAAGATGCTAACTAGCTACACACAATGCTAAAGATGCTAACTAGCTACACACAATGCTAAAGATGCTAACTAGCTACACACAATGCTAAAGATGCTAACTAGCTACACACAATGCTAAAGATGCTAACTAGCTACACACAATGCTAAAGATGCTAACTAGCTACACACACAAAATGCTAAAGATGCTAACTAATAGCTACACACAATGCTAAAGATGCTAACTAGCTACACACAATGCTAAAGATGCTAACTAGCTACACACAATGCTAAAGATGCTAACTAGCTACACACAATGCTAAAGATGCTAACTAGCTACACACAATGCTAAAGATGCTAACTAGCTACACACAATGCTAAAGATGCTAACTAGCTACACACAATGCTAAAGATGCTAACTAGCTACACACAATGCTAAAGATGCTAACTAGCTACACACAATGCTAAAGATGCTAACTAGCTACACACAATGCTAAAGATGCTAACTAGCTACACACAATGCTAAAGATGCTAACTAGCTACACACAATGCTAAAGATGCTAACTAGCTACACACAATGCTAAAGATGCTAACTAGCTACACACAATGCTAAAGATGCTAACTAGCTACACACAATGCTAAAGATGCTAACTAGCTACACACAATGCTAAAGATGCTAACTAGCTACACACAATGCTAAAGATGCTAACTAGCTACACACAATGCTAAAGATGCTAACTAGCTACACACAATGCTAAAGATGCTAACTAGCTACACACAATGCTAAAGATGCTAACTAGCTACACACAATGCTAATGCCATAAACTACATTTTCTCACCACACGACACTCTCATGTTTATCATCTCTCTGAGTTGAAACGGTCCAATCGGTGGATTCTCGGAGACAAGGCCATGTTTTCCAGCCGCACACAACACCAGACTTATTTATCTCGACTGCAGTACTTTTCTTTGACTAACTCTCGCGTCATAAAACACACGTTGGCATCTGCTGAAAGCCTCTCAGTTTGTTAGCATTAATTGCAAAGTGTGATCACAGGCCACTTCCTTTCGCACTTAAGAGAACGCTGCTGAATAAATTGGTAGAAATGTGTCATAAATCACAATAAATCTGTTTACATTTGCACAGAGGGATTCGCATGCATCGATTCTGAACTGAGATTTACTTTCTGTGGATGTAGTAGTAATAATAGTATTGTTAAAGCTGCACTAACTGACTTTGGGATTTTGAAGCCGTGGACCCGCTGGCCTCTCTCTTTCTGCTCCCCTCCCCGCACCCACAAAGCTATGGCCCCCCGCACCCACCAAGCTATGGCCCCCCGCACCCACCAAGCTATGGCCCCCCCACACACACTCACTGTTGGGACGGAGTTAGCGTCTCCCAACATGGATAATACATGGATATGGATTTGCACGTGGATGGCGTGATCATAGAACGATAGAACCGGGAAGCGCCGAGGAACGGGACTTTCTTTTGGCTGTCTCGCTGTGTAAGCAGTAACCGGTGACGAAGACACGAAGCTTCAGGTTAGCTCCGCCGCTTGTTGTGCTAACTCAGCCGTCTATGCTAACGGACCTGTAGATTTCTCACAAAAGTGGGGGCTAGTGGTCCGCTGTGATTGGTCACAATCCGCGACCCGAAACACATTCTCTTCCTTGTTTCATCAAAACTCGATCTAAAATATAATGTCACGCACAACCCAGCGCTACTTTTTCTTCAAAAGGACGTTTATCCCAAAGCACTGCGTGGACATGGATAGCACTTTAGTAATGAATACAACAATAAAGTCAGTTAGTGCAGCTACTGTTAAGGGCCTGACTCAGCAAAAATGTGAGGATTCAATAGTAAAGGGACATACTTTAAATATTGTATCAAATATCACAATACTTTGCTCTGTGTGCAAAATATCGCGATACTGAACGATTTTCCTCCAGCACTAGTAAGATTTTACTCTCTCCTCACGTAGTAGTAGTAGCAGCAGTATTAGTAGTAGCAGTATTAGTAGCAGCAGTATTAGTAGTAGCAGTATTAGTAGTAGCAGTAGTAGTAGCAGCAGTATTAGTAGTAGTAGCAGTATTAGTAGTAGTAGCAGTATTAGTAGTAGCAGCAGTATTAGTAGTAGCAGTATTAGTAGTAGCAGTAGTAGTAGCAGCAGTATTAGTAGTAGTAGCAGTATTAGTAGTAGCAGCAGTATTAGTAGTAGCAGCAGTATTAGTAGTAGCAGTAGTAGTAGCAGCAGTATTAGTAGTAGTAGCAGTATTAGTAGTAGTAGCAGTATTAGTAGTAGTAGCAGTATTAGTAGTAGCAGCAGTATTAGTAGTAGCAGTAGTATTAGTAGTAGCAGCAGTATTAGTAGTAGCAGTAGTAGTAGCAGTATTAGTAGTAGCAGCAGTATTAGTAGTAGCAGTATTAGTAGTAGCAGTAGTAGTAGTAGCAGTATTAGTAGTAGCAGCAGTATTAGTAGTAGCAGTATTAGTAGTAGCAGTAGTAGTAGTAGCAGTATTAGTAGTAGCAGTAGAAGTAACTTGTAACTTATTACAGACATTAAATGAAACTTAAATCTTGATTTGAACAAAACATAAAATCGTGTCTAAAAAAATGAATGAAATGTGTTTTGATAAAGGTCTCCATGGCAACAGTGTGAAAAGGCTCAAACACACATTTCTGGAGTAAATTCATGACTGCACCTGAGTGAATATCATCAAAAATATGTTTCTGAAATGAGTCCAGTCAAATATAAATCTGCAGACTCCTAAATCCATCCAAAACCTCCAGAACCTCCAGAACCTCCTGATCCAGTTTGGAGCCAAGACCGGACTAAACTGAAAACCTCAAGACCAAGACCGAAACCTGCAGCTGACACTTTAAACTTATTATTGTTTTAAATGTGTTTCCAGACGGATACCCACGAGACGAGATCATTTACAAGTGGAAGAGGAAGTCTGTGGAGACCTCGGACCAGAAGTACTGGAGACTTTACCAGTTTGACTTCATGGGTCTGAGGAACACCACGGGCGTGCAGACCACCACCTCAGGTCAGCAGGGGGCGCCGCTGCTTCAAGGGCTCTCTCTCGATGGTCTCTCTCTGGTCTCTCTCTGGTCTCTCTCTGGTCTCTCTCTGGTCTCTCTCTGGTCTCTCTCTCTCTGGTCTCTCTCTGGTCTCTCTCTGGTCTCTCTCTCTGGTCTCTCTCTGGTCTCTCTCTCTGGTCTCTCTCTGGTCTCTCTCTCTGGTCTCTCTCTGATCTCTCTCTCTGGTCTCTCTCTGGTCTCTCTCTCTCTGGTCTCTCTCTGGTCTCTCTCTCTGGTCTCTCTCTGATCTCTCTCTCTGGTCTCTCTCTGGTCTCTCTCTCTGGTCTCTCTCTGGTCTCTCTCTCTGGTCTCTCTCTGGTCTCTCTCTGGTCTCTCTCTCTGGTCTCTCTCTGGTCTCTCTCTCTGGTCTCTCTCTGGTCTCTCTCTCTCTGGTCTCTCTCTGGTCTCTCTCTGGTCTCTCTCTCTGGTCTCTCTCTGGTCTCTCTCTCTCTGGTCTCTCTCTGATCTCTCTCTCTGGTCTCTCTCTGGTCTCTCTCTCTGGTCTCTCTCTGGTCTCTCTCTCTGGTCTCTCTCTGGTCTCTCTCTGGTCTCTCTCTCTGGTCTCTCTCTGGTCTCTCTCTCTGGTCTCTCTCTCTGGTCTCTCTCTGGTCTCTCTCTCTGGTCTCTCTCTGGTCTCTCTCTCTGGTCTCTCTCTCTCTGGTCTCTCTCTGATCTCTCTCTCTGGTCTCTCTCTGGTCTCTCTCTCTGGTCTCTCTCTGGTCTCTCTCTCTGGTCTCTCTCTGGTCTCTCTCTCTGGTCTCTCTCTGGTCTCTCTCTCTGGTCTCTCTCTGGTCTCTCTCTCTGGTCTCTCTCTCTCTGGTCTCTCTCTGATCTCTCTCTCTGGTCTCTCTCTGGTCTCTCTCTCTGGTCTCTCTCTGGTCTCTCTCTCTCTGGTCTCTCTCTGATCTCTCTCTCTGGTCTCTCTCTGGTCTCTCTCTCTGGTCTCTCTCTGGTCTCTCTCTCTGGTCTCTCTCTGGTCTCTCTCTGGTCTCTCTCTCTGGTCTCTCTCTGGTCTCTCTCTCTGGTCTCTCTCTGGTCTCTCTCTCTGGTCTCTCTCTCTGGTCTCTCTCTCTGGTCTCTCTCTCTGGTCTCTCTCTCTGGTCTCTCTCTCTGGTCTCTCTCTCTGGTCTCCAGTCCCACTAAAGGTACCACAGTGTTTTAATCACAATAACATTATTTTACGTTGCCTGATCCTCGTCACACGTTCTCTTTTCCAACGTACGACAGTAGAAATCAAAGGAAACGGTCTGAGTTCCTCTGACTTGACTTTAAAATTTGTTATTATTGAGAAAATCTTGTCACTTGTACAACTGTGCATTTTCATGAATATATATATATATCTTTTTAATCCTTTTTTTATTGACGGAACAGAGCCTTTCAAAGTAGACTATCTACTTTGACCCTCTCAGAACACCTGGTATTCACTCCCTCCACTGCACCCATGGTCCCACTGTACCCATGGTCCCACTGCACCCATGGTCCCACTGCACCCATGGTCCCACTGCACCCATGGTCCCACTGCACCCATGGTCCCACTGCACCCATGGTCCCACTGTATCCATGGTCCCACTGTACCCATGGTCCCGTCTCAGTCCTGGGTCTACAGCCTCAGTCCTGGGTCTACAGCCTCAGTCCTGGGTCTACAGCCTCAGTCCTGGGTCTACAGCCTCAGTCCTGGATCTACAGCCTCAGTCCTGGGTCTACAGCCTCAGTCCTGGGTCTACAGCCTCAGTCCTGGGTCTAAAGCCTCAGTCCTGGGTCTACAGCCTCAGTCCTGGATCTACAGCCTCAGTCCTGGGTCTACAGCCTCAGTCCTGGGTCTACAGCCTCAGTCCTGGGTCTACAGCCTCAGTCCTGGGTCTACAGCCTCAGTCCTGGGTCTACAGCCTCAGTCCTGGGTCTGCAGCCTCAGTCCTGGGTCTACAGCCTCAGTCCTGGGTCTACAGCCTCAGTCCTGGGTCTACAGCCTCAGTCCTGGGTCTACAGCCTCAGTCCTGGATCTACAGCCTCAGTCCTGGGTCTACAGCCTCAGTCCTGGGCCCCCATGGCCCATTTGCTTTCCCTTCAGGATCACGAAGCCAAATAGGTTTTCCGTTGACATTAATCAGCGAGATTAAACATTTAAAAGATTCTTAATAATTAAATCTCGCTCTCTCCGTCTGCAGCTTCCAGTTTCTCTGAGTCAGTCCGAGCTGTTGTCGAAGAATCAAAAAAACAATATCGTTCTTTAACAGGTGGCGTTTCTGTGGCGTGGACCGTGCAGATTGATTGCGTGATGGAGACGGTTAGCCTCTCTTAACCCTGTTGATACCGCGGGCTCTTTGTCTTTACCCATGATGCACCCTGATTTATGAGCGTGTGTGTAGATTAGCGATAGCTGAGGAGGTGATTAGCCGGAGAGTCCTGGGTTTCCGGGTTTAATGGGACTGAGATCTGTGATGGAGCGACAGAGAAATGTGTTTAAGGCCAGAAGCAAAGTGATGTCACATGACGCTGAGATGATTTCATGAAGCTGTTTTCCAAAGACCAACGAGAGAGTTTTTATACAGAAGCGTGCACAAGGAGATGATTTAAAATATGTTTAGGGCCACGGACTGGTTTAGACCTCAGTCCTGGGTCCTGGGTCTACAGCCTCAGTCCTGGGTCTACAGCCTCAGTCCTGGGTCTACAGCCTCAGTCCTGGATCTACAGCCTCAGTCCTGGGTCTACAGCTTCAGTCCTGGGTCTACAGCCTCAGTCCTGGATCTACAGCCTCAGTCCTGGGTCTACAGCCTCAGTCCTGGGTCTACAGCCTCAGTCCTGGATCTACAGCCTCAGTCCTGGGTCTACAGCCTCAGTCCTGGATCTACAGCCTCAGTCCTGGGTCTACAGCCTCAGTCCTGGGTCTACAGCCTCAGTCCTGGATCTACAGCCTCAGATTCAGATCAGATTCAGATTCATTTATTTGCTATTTGCAGTAAAACCACATTGGAAAACTGTGCAAGACTACCCCGGTGTGCACCAGAAGACGACACACACCAGAGCTCTTGCCACGGCGCCATTTTTACGGCGCCATGCGACAAACAGTAGAATAACAGTTATTCAACAGCATAGAGCAAAACAGACATATTTTTCAACAGACATGGGGAGAGACACGGTACATGTGGAAAAACATGCGGATCTTTTTAATGGGAAGTCATCACTCTGGCCCGCCTCGTCCAATACAGCGCGTCAGAGGGGAGTGTGGGTGGGGGAGGTGGAGGGGAAGACCACCGAAGACTGAAAAAGAGAGAGAGGCAGACATGTAGAAGGGGGGGGGGGACTGTAACTGGTGGTCTGGGTTGTGAGTCTGAGTTATAGAGTCCAGTGTCGGCCTTGAGTGGCCGTGTGTGGTGGTGGAATGTGAAGGACAAAGATAGCGCAGGTGCAAACATTGGAGACAAAACAACACATGCCCTTGTGGGAAATTTGTATAAGCACTTTAGCTGATCAATGAAAGGCAGTGTAAACTAAAGCCAATATGTCCAAATTATACTGGAACTGGACCCTCCGTTCACCGTTATCCGGAGTTGACCACGTCAGTACGAGGTTCCACCGTGAGGCCCAAGTCCTTCAATCAATCCTTCCACGCGTTTAAGTCCATCCAAAGATCTCACTCCCAGGTCATTAAGGGAATGTTCGATCCGACTCACCCCCCGCTGTGTCCCCACTGTGCCCTCGACCACGACTCTGACCAACTCGCGGAAACTCTCCTTGTTTTCCGCGGACAGCTGCTCGTAAATCTTCTGAGTGGACAGCCCTCCAACTTTGCGGTAGATCAAGCCAACTCCAAATCCAATCAGGAGGAACCCTGCTACCATAAATCCAAAAATGTATATATCCTCAATGTCCTCGATGGACAGTCCCGACAGACAAACGCCACTTTTGCCAGTTGTCAAAAACGTACCCAGCAGCCGCCGTACCGTCCGGGCAAACGGCATCTCCAGAACCGCCTTTACGTGATGAAAAAATAGTATCAATTGCGTTGAGGGACCAGTTGATTAATTCCATCATTTTTCAAGTTGTATACAGGCAGAGCACTAGGAAAAAAGACAGTCAGGGCAAGAGCAGGAGAGACACGTCTGACCTCGAGGAGAGCAGGAAGAAGAAAAGCCAAGCCAAGGCAAGAAGCCTGTAAAAGTGAACTGCAGTTTGTTCGCTAGCCGCGAAAGGCAGCACTGCGCTTAGAAGGCAAGTCTCGAGCGCACACATGGGTATTGTTGCTCGTGGTACTGAATCTGCGAGAAGGGTGTCACTCCCGTATTTGTCCCGGAAACCGGATTCGTCCGGAAGTTCAGTTTGATCCAATGAGCATGCGCAGCAGTAGATTACGTCACGGAATCTGGACGGAAGCGGAAGTAAATATAAAAAACGACCTATTCATGCCTAAACTTAACCAGCCATTATCATAAAATAACCCCAACCCAGCCTTAACCCTAACCTTAACCATCTTAATCAGACGCCTAAACTTAACCAGTCTCCACTTAAAGACCTTATGACGGGTTTGATTTATTTAGAAATACAGTTTTAATACCATTTTATATTAGAAGAGAACTACTAAAGGTTTCAAAATCAGTTGTTGTTTTTTTTGTCTGATCCCCTCAAATCGAAATAACCCCATAGCAACGCCCTTAGAGACGAAAAAACTTCACAGCCCTTGGTGACGTCAGAACGGGATGTTTCAACGCTGTAAGTTGTTTACAATTTGGTATTCGTTCTTTTTTCGCGGATATTCAAGATGACCCGTGTACAGCGAGTCTAAAATAACTACTAGAATGTCACATTTCGTTGTCACTGAGATAGTCCAGTGGTTGTGTCGCTGGACTGTCAATCCAGATACTTGGGTTCACACTCAAAACGGCAATTTATGTGTAGTGAGCAATTGTCACCTGTAGAGGGCAGTATTGTGTTGGGCATCAGTGGAGAGAAGAGAGAAAAGGCAGTCCTGTGGCATAGATCCATGGTTTTCAATGCATGGGCGTAACCCGCTATGACGTCACACACAGGTTAGAGCATAAGACAACTTAAATTCATGAAAAACACGTTCTTTTTATAAAATATAGGATTTTTTTTGCCGGAATCTCTTTCAAATTGACATTGTCATGCAATTTTGATATCCACAATTTTTTTTTTTTAAACCCGTCATAAGGTCTTTAAGGACATATTAAACTTTTTGACATGCGCAAACTGAACTTCCGGACAAATCTGGTTTCCGGGACGAATACGGGAGTGACAAGGGTCTGTCTGCAGCCTGCAAGACAGAGGCGTGTGGTGTAGTAGGCGTGTCTTCGTGACCTCACTACAATACACGCCTACTACACGAATGAGGTTAAAGCACATGGAATTCTGCAAGTACAGATCATAGACTGTATATAATAACGGACAGAGTCACGCCTATCTCCGCCGTTCTAACTAATGGGCCAAAAAATGTGCTCTACTGGAGCAATCTAAAATGATCGCGAGTGGTCCCACCCACAAGAAAATTGTGAAAAAACGCATCTGCGCATGCGTCAGCCGGCGCAACTCCATTCATTCAAAAATTCACAGCGAGTAAACTAGAGTGGACCAAAAAAATCCACCCCCTCAGCATTGACACACATGTGGAACGGAGCTTTGGGCCAAGAGCCAACTTTTGCTCCATCCTGTAAAGACGTTTTTGAGAGGTCTGCCAATGCATTGGCTAATTCTACTTCTGGGTCCACCCCCATCGGCCCGGGGTGGTATTGCAAGCATGTCAGCGCACGTCATTTTGGCCACTTTTGAGCTGGGACCCGCCCCCACTGGTACAGATCCATAAAGTATTTGCGTCGAAAACTTGGAGAAGACATGGCAGACCGTAGCAAACAGTAAGTGACAACCAACAACGTGTTTTATTTATTTTTAGGCCGTCATAGAAGTCACAGTGTATTAATGAATAAATGCAGATCACCCTGATTATAAATGTTTTTTAAGAAGTGAACTAATACATTGCAGAGAAAGCAATTCCTATGGGTTTCTTCTGAGAGTCCATGTGCCATCAACATGTTGTTAGGCACATAGCATAATTGCCCAAGTCATTTTGCATCGTTAAAATGGCAATAAGAGGAAAAACATAACTTAATACATGTTTTCCAAGAACAGTGGAAAATTAGTTAGGCAATTATGCAATGTTTCTGAGTGTGCACAAATGTATGTTTATGTCTGCTTTCAGTTACATCCTACGATTGTCAGTGATGGAAATCACTGACAGCTCCAGTGCTGTAGCAGGGGAACACGCTCACGTGTGTAACTTACCCTAACCCATTGCAAGAGGCAATTGGAAAATTCAAAAAGGGGCCAAAGTACAAACCATGGTAAGATTATTTTAAATATTGATGGACATATTCCAATGTGCACTGCACATGTGCATCTAATCTGTGATTGTTCTTTTTGGACAGTGAATTTAAAATGATTGTGGATGCCCTGGTGAGACATTTACCAGAGGAGGCGGCAGTGAGGCTCAAAGAATTTGAAGACAGATGGAGATTAGCGCTCTCTTCTGAAGCCTTTCTATCAAGATTATAATAAAAAAAATTGTTGCAATATTTGTTTTCTGTAGAACTTATTCAGTGTCCACATTTCAGAGCCATTCACATAACACAAATTCATAAAAAAGCATGTACATAAAATGCCAGATAACAATTTATTGTTCTTTATGTTTAATCTCCCTCTCCCACATATATATTTGACAAAACATAATAATAATGAATGTCTGCTTTTCCCAAAATGCCAAAGCAGGGAGCTGGGCACAAATGTTATGGCATGTTTTCTTTATGATCAGTAATGTGAGATCGTGGGCGTAGGAGTGTGTGGTGGTGGTGTAATAAAAGCTTTAATTTGTAATGTTCTTTTCAATCCTGTGTTTCTAAAAACGCCACACTGTAGTCTTAATTCATTCCACACAGTGTGTCACAGCTGGGTTGGTGTAACGGATGCCAGGCTGCAAATCTGTGCTATTGGCCACAACCAACCAGTCTCTCACTATGTTCACACATGTGGGTGAAGTGCATTGCTCAAGAACATACCAGACTGCACTTGTGGCAGCCAGGATTCGAACCACCAACCATACGCCCCTTTTATAAATGAATCTACACATTACACATAAGCACTGACATTATTTGACTCATTTACTTTTGTCCTGAGCCGGTTGTGGCAGTCATAGAACATTTGCCACTTCAAATCCCTATTGATTCTCTGAAGTAGTCTGAAGTAATGGCAGCTTTTGTAGGCAAATTCACTACTTTGATATTTACAAAATTCGCCCATTTTACCCCAATAGATAATGATGACAATGACATACCCCCATTAAAATTCATTATTGCGCAAAAATTCCTTATTGGGCATAGTAGCTACTTGTACTCATACCCGTATTATAATAGATCCATGCTCATACCCCTGGAGTGGGTGTGTCGTGAAAAATGAAGTAGGCATGTCGTTTAGTGACGTCATTAAACGACACGTCTACTTCACGACACGCCTCCGTCCTGCAAGCCGCAGCAGTCTGCGCGCGGAGCGAGAGGATCTGCGTGCGTGGAGAGTAGTTTGCGCGCGTGTGAATTAATAAAGCTGCGCGTGAGTGTATTAATTACGCGTGTGGACTTTTTGCGTGAATCTGGCGCCATAGTGTACAGTTTACAAATAGTAAAGAAGAAGCCTATGAGCGAGTTGGGGGCGGTGCTAAACATACAAACCTTGCACGCGGCAGATCTAAAGCAGGACTAAAGCAGGTCTAAAGCTGGACTAAAGCAGGTCTAAAGCAGGTCTAAAGCAGGACTAAAGCAGGTCTAAAGCTGGACTAAAGCAGGACTAAAACAGGTCTAAAGCAGGACTAAAGCAGGTCTAAAGCAGGTCTAAAGCAGGTCTAAAGCAGGACTAAAGCAGGTCTAAAGCAGGTCTAAAGCAGGAGCAGGACTAAAGCAGGACTAAAGCAGGTCTAAAGCAGGACTAAAGCAGGACTAAAACAGGACTAAAGCAGGTCTAAAACAGGACTAAAGCAGGTCTAAAACAGGACTAAAGCAGGTCTAAAACAGGTCTAAAACAGGACTAAAGCAGGTCTAAAGCAGGAGCAGGACTAAAGTAGGACACAAGCAGGTCTAAAACAGGACTAAAGCAGGTCTAAAACAGGACTAAAGCAGGTCTAAAGCAGGAGCAGGACTAAAGTAGGACAAAAGCAGGACTAAAGCAGGTCTAAAACAGGACTAAAGCAGGTCTAAATCAGTCAGACCCTCCTTCACATGTTTGCCTGCATCTCTATGTGTTTGTTCAACTTCCTTTTGGCTTGCGACGTGCAAAAGTAAATATTTAAGATTTCTGCACTTTAAAACAGCGTATGGACAGAAGAGTGGGGGACACACACTAATATCCACGCTCTTTGACAGCGATGGGAGCCGAGGAGCCAGAGGAGAGACCTGGACCCAGACTCAAGACCTCCAGGGATGTGCACTTCCGTGTTCTTCCTGATCGATACGAGCCTCTGGAGGAGGAGCACGACAAAGAGGAGGCTGATGAAGAGGAAGAGCAGAGGAGGAGGAGGAAAGAGGAGAAAAAACACAAGAAGAAAATGAGATACAAGAAATACAGGAAGGTGAGAGAGATGGGAGCTGTACTTAGAAGCAAGGCTAACCACAAAATCATAAATATCTTTGTCTCATTCACAAATACTCCTTATACACCAAAGTCCTCCTCTCTTGTCTCTCTCTGATTCCTGATTTCTGGTTTCTCTCTGGTCTCTCTCTGTTGTCTCTCTGGTCACTCTTTAGTCTCTCTCTGGTCGCTCTTTCTTGTCTCTCTCTGGTCTCTCTCTTGTTCATTGTGCATCTTGTGTTTCAGAACGTGGGTAAAGCTCTGCGCTTCAGTTGGCGTTGTCTGATCTCCGGGTTACAGAGTATGGTTCCTGTTTACACTGGACCTGTCGCCGTGGTGACTACAATGAACCATCGATGAAACAAAAACTGTCAAAGTCCTAAAACTTCTCTGTCATCTCTGACCTCTCTCTGGTCTGTCTGTTTAAAGGGTTTGAGACCTACTCTAGGACTGTCCTGAATCTGTTCTTTCTTTAAAAATAAAAATAAACATGTTTTAGTGTTTTCCACAGCCTCATGTTTACTGCTTCCTGGTAGAAGTTTCTCTCTCTACACTGGAGATAATTTGCCTGTAAAATAACAGTAAAGAGCTGGCAGCAGGGTTGCCAGATCTTTACCGTTATTCTTACGGTATTTTAACGTACAGTGACCAAGGCAAGTTTATTTGTATAGCACAGTTCATACACAAGGCAATTCAAAGTGCTGAACAAAATAAGAAAGCATTAAAATCATAAATAATCACAGAACATTAAAAAGAAAGATACAAATATAAAATCCCTCAGTTGTATGCACAGCTAAACAGAACTGTCTTTAACCTGGTTTTAAACATTGTCAGAGAGGAGGCCTGTCTCACATCTTCAGGAAGATTGTTCCAGATTTTAGCAGCATGAATCTGAAAAGCAGCCTCCCCATGTTTAGTTCTGACTCTGGGCACTAACAGGAGTCCAGTCCCTGTGCTCCTCAGAGTCCGGGCTGGTTCATATGGGACTAACATGTCACTAATATATTTTGGTGCGAGGCCATGGAGAGACTTGTACACAAGCAGAGCTGTTTTAAAGTCTATTCTCTGAGCCACAGGAAGCCAGTGCAGAGACCTGAGAACTGGACTAATGTGGTCGTACTTCCTGGTTCTAGTCAGGACTCGAGCTGCTGCATTTTGAATGTACTGCTGTCATGGGGTGAAGTGATGGAGGACTCAAAATGCAGGAATACGAAAAACAAAAATGGTTTAATGATAAAAATCAAATAAAAGTCCAAGATGAAAACATAATCCAAACAAGAACCAGGAACACAGACTGACAAGGACAGACAATACAATGAACCAGCAACAAGAGGAAAGGAGCACTGGGTACATATAGACACAGACACAGGTGAAACACATCAGGGCAGGGCAGACAATCAACATAGGGGAACAAGACAGGAAGTACAACTAAAACCAAACTTGTGTCAAAATAAAACCAAATCCACACCATGACAGTACCCCCCCTCCAAGGGACAGCTCCCAGATGTCCCAAAACCCAAACACGAACCAGGGAGGGTGGAGGGGGTCTGGCGGAGGGAACCTCAGGTCCGAAGTAGTGTCCAAACAAATCAGGAACCGAAGCTGAAGCCCAGTGATGACCTTCCATAGGGAAACCGGCCCACCCCGGGCGGAGACGTTTGCCCGGCGGTGACACAGACGAAACAGAACCACCCCAGACGGACATCAATGTCTGGCGGTGGCAACAGGTGAGGGGAAGGAGAGGTCTTCGAAGGGCAGCAGACACACAGGAACATCAAGTCCAGGACTTCACTGGGTACCTCTCAGCAGGTCAGGGGGAGGGGAACAGAGGACCACCCCGGACGGACAACCATGCCCGGCGGTGGTGCAGGACAGATAACCACCCCAGACGGAGTTTCTAGTCTGGCGGTGGTTGCAGGTACGGGGTCGAGGTAGGCAGTGAAGTGAAGGCAAAAATAAGTAAAAACCTGGTGATGAAGATGAACTGGGAACTGTTGTGGTGAAAAAAAAAGGCATTCCGCTGAGTCCTTGTGATGGCTGGTTCATTCTGTCATGGGGTGAAGTGATGGAGGACTCAAAATGCAGGAATACGAAAAACAAAAATGGTTTAATGATAAAAATCAAATAAAAGTCCAAGATGAAAACATAATCCAAACAAGAACCAGGAACACAGACTGACAAGGACAGACAATACAATGAACCAGCAACAAGAGGAAAGGAGCACTGGGTACATATAGACACAGACACAGGTGAAACACATCAGGGCAGGGCAGACAATCAACATAGGGGAACAAGACAGGAAGTACAACTAAAACCAAACTTGTGTCAAAATAAAACCAAATCCACACCATGACAACTGCAGCTGTTTTACAGCCTGTTTGGACAGACCTGTGAGCAGGCCATTGCAGTAGTCACCTACTGGAGACAAATGCATGGATAAGAATCTCCAGGTCTGCTTTAGATACTATGTTTTTGATCCTGGCAATGTTTTTTAGATGGTAAAAAGCTGCTGATGTTACTGATTTGATGTGGCTATTAAAATTTAATTCCTGACCTTGTTTGAAGGTTTTAGGGAGAGAGACTGGAGGTGACAGATGACGCTCTCTTTTTGTTTCTGGGGACCAAAGACAATCATTTCAGTTTTGCCTGCGTTTAGGCGAGGGAAGTTGTTTTGCATCCACTCACTGATCTGTTGGATACAGTGACGGAGTGAGTCCACTGGTCCATGTTCTCCTGCAGTCAGTGAGACATAGATCTGAGTGTCGTCTGCATAGTTATGATAGGAAACTTCGTTTCTGCGTATTAACTGACCTAACGGCAGCATGTAGAGATTGAACAGAAGAGGTCCCAGGATCGACCCCTGTGGGACTCCACAGGTCAGGGCCATATGATCTGAGACACAGTTTCCAATCTCCACAAAGTACTTCCTGTCTTCAAGGTAAGACCTAAACCAACATAGGGCGGTGCCAGCGACGCCAACCCAGTCCTCTAGTCTCTGTAAGAGGATCTCATGGTCGACAGTGTCAAAGGCAGCAGTCAGACTATTAGTATTAGATAGCAATATGGCCTACGTGCAGGACTGTACAAGGACTCTACAAGGACTCCATGTTATGACTATGATTTGACTGTCTCTTTGTGACACGTATGTCTTTCGATGTGTGACGTGACAATGACTATATAAACTGTGTACTGCCTTTATTCTGTCTGAGGGAAAGAAACAGAGTAAACCAGTGGAACTTGAGAGAAACTTAAATAAACTTCCAGAGTTTGGCACACCACGATCCGTCTCTGTCTGCTTAAATCCTAACAGATTTGGTGGAGAATGCGCGGCTCGGTTTGTGCCATTCTCTGGATTGTTTTGAGGGAGTTTTGCTCTGTTTCTTTTCCTCTGCGTTGGAGATCGGCATGCTGTGTCTGGGAGTGGAGATTCCAGCAGGCTGGAAGAGCTGTTCCTGGATGCTTCTTGTCGCTTCTGTCACTTTTGTTTTTTAAATTGAAGATTCCGACGCGGAAAAGAGTTGGCAGACCTCTCGGACAGTCCGTGCATGCACCTGTTTGACAAGAATAAGGTAAGCAGACACCTTTTTATATGTAAAGTCTGCATAATTGGATACTAGCTAAATTTGGGTGTGTTTTTGAGGTCTGTCGAACTCTCTAAATTGTGTTCAAATAAGTGAGGATCCATAAGTGAAAAGGCCATAAAGTGAGTGAAGGATCCATAAGTGAAAAGGCCATAAAGTGAGTGAAGGATCCATAAGTGAAAAGGCCATAAAGTGTGTGAAGGATCCATAAGTGAAAAGGCCATAAAGTGAGTGAAGGATCCATAAGTGAAAAGGCCATAAAGTGTATAGGATCCAAAAAGTGTTGGCCATAAAGTGTATAGGATCCATAAGTGAAAAGGCCTAAGTGAAACCATGGTGTAATAATAAAAGCAATTTTTAAAAAGGGAAACGTGTTAAGGAGGCCTTTGTTACAAAAGCTTTGAAATTGACGAATTTCAAGCTGATAAATGACAAAAGTACATAAGCAACAATATTTCAGTGATCACGGTTTAAATTACATACAGAAAAGGGAGTTTTTGTTTTTTGGAGTGAACAGAGTTCACCGGAGAATGCAGAGTTTTATCTAAAGTTGAGCTATGAGAGCTTTCGTGAGTTATTTACATTTTTTTTTGCCGAGTTTTATCTACAGTTAAGCTATGAGAGGGCTGTATCCAACAGTTGTTTTTGTTTTTTAGAAAGAGATTTTAAGTTTAAATTAGTTTGCTACCTCGATAAAATAGAAGCGTAAACGTCAAAGACAAGAGTGCCTTTTGTTACAAGTGTGGAAAGTGATCACTTCTAGATTTGGATGACAAAAGTATAAAGAACAACATCAGTTATATTCGCTTAACAAAGTAATCTTGAAAGTTATTCTTCTGTATCTTTTTGCCTGTGTGTGTGCACAGCACTATCTGCTGCCGTTGTCAGGGAAACGGCCCCCTCCTTCGCTGCTCTGGCTGTGAATCTGAAGCAAAGCTACTGCTTTAGGACTTTTGGCTTTTCATAGTAGTTATTCCGTTAAATTTGCTAAATTTGCCATTTGAACATTGTGTTAGACACAGTTAAACGTTTTTAAACACCATTAGGGAATAGAAGTTTTGAATTAGTATGTTTTTGAAACCCAAAGATTAGTACAAAAAGCTTTGCTTTTCTTTTTAAATCTGCTGCTTATTTTGTGAGTCCATTATTGTATCTCTGATATATTTCATAGCTGTTTGTGAGAATTTTTTCATGTATTTTTTATTTTAGTTACAAAAGCCGTTTTTCAAACATTTAAATTAGAATCTGTTAAAAGTGATTAATGATTGTAGACTTCGTCTAAAAAAGAAAGAGGGAATTAGGCTGTAAAAGTATTATATTATTAAGTTAAACTACCCAATTCACATTCAAGTGGTGACTTTTGTTTTTGTTTTGACTATGCACCTGACCTTCCTCCTGCTGCAGATGCACGCAGCACAGGAGCCTGGTCTAAAATGTGCTCCAATTCATACTGACTTCATTTGAAAAATGCTGCAATTATTTTAAATTAGTAAAATATATGCTGAGATAAATGCATAGATAATTAATCACACAGTACAGAAGTACAAAATAGAATACATTTTTTAAAGTTTAAAAGGTTTAAGAGATTTGAGTCTTGTTTTTTTATATTGAGAGTTTCTGGTTTTAAATGTCATCATTAGTAAGATAATAAGTAATCTTTTATTTACATAGCGCTTGGGAAAGCCAGAGCGCTCAAATTGTTTTGACTTCAGAAAGAAAAACAATCTCATTCACAATCTCTGTTGTTTTTAATTTGACTATAAGGTTGTTTTCCAGAAC